AGATTAGTCACAGATTCGACCCCTCGTTTACAGGTGAGCAGGTGGAACACGGAGAGGTTAAGAAACCAATCCAAGGTCACACACCTAGTAGTAATGCCAGGAGATTGTGCCATTGCTTTCCGTGGCCTCCAGCGCTCTCCCTGCGCCTGTCACCCGAGCACAAGAAAGCCTCTGAATATTTTTACGCAGAGGCAGGCGGATTTCTGAGTTCGAGGCCAGGCTGGTCTACAGAGTGAGTTCCAGGACAGCCAGGGCTACACAGAGAAACCCTGTTTCGAAAAAATTAAAAAAAAAATTTTTTTTTTACATGGACAAGATATTTCATTCATTTATACAACGACCGTTTGCGGAGTACAAACTGTGTACCAGGCACAGAACTGGGCACCAGGGCAGGGAGACAGTATGACTAATGACTAAATGAAATGGACCACATGCTCAAGGAGAGGTTGGCACTAATTCCACATCTGCACAGATTTGTAGTAAACGAAAACTGAATGCCGCGCGGAAGCAGTCCCCGTGAATGCACGTGTTGGTGGGCTGGTCCTTTCTCTTCAGGAGTCCAGGAGGCTTCCATGAAGAAATGACACACAGCAGAGACAGATGTCCTCACCGTGCAGTTGGTATACCTGGGCCGTGGTGGCAGTGGTTGCTGTAGTGGCCGTAGCAGCAGCTAGAAAAGCAGATTCCTTAGCTGGTGTGGCATGGTATCAGACACTTGTTATCCCAACATTCAGAAGTGGAGGCAGGAGGATCCAGAGTCCCAGGCCAGCCTGAGCTACATGAGACCCTCTATCAAAGAAGAGATTCAAACCTCTCAGGCTCCACCCCAGACCTGACAGGAACCTCAGGCTTGTACAAAGGCCTTGTGTCTTGGCCAGATTGACTCCAACTCCATCCCAGGTCTGAAGCAGGGACAGGACTTGTCGGGAGAGAGGAATAAGAAGGGCCTGAAGGCAGCCAGAGGGACAGTGTCCTTCTGGAAACCCTTGCATGTGGAATTTCTCCAGTCTCCCTTGTCCCTGCTTGGAGCAGATTACCTCCACCACAGCCTGCAGGTGTTGGAGGCAGAGGAGCCTGAGGTGGCTTAGACAGGGACTGGCCTGTAAGTGTGGGGGACAGTTCTGTCCTGTGTCATCTTTTTCAACCAGGAAGTTTGGCCAGAGGGGAGCCTGGAGGAGCAGCAGGTCACCTGGTTGAATTTTCAGCTGCCTGAGGTGGGTAAGAGGGTTGGGAGTAGCTAAAGACTGAGAGGCCTCCAATCCCCTGAGGAGATGACACTTTGGTTTCCAGGAAGCAGCCATTAGACCGTGAATTCTGTTGCTGGGGAAGTTTCTTTCCTAGAGTCAAGAAAGGACCCCAAAGACAGCTCTTCCTGTTCTCTACAGTTTTCAGAGGATCAGAGTTGAAGAGCCAGTTGGCTCTCAGAAATTAGTTGCTGGACACAAGTTCTCTGGAGGTGACCTCTCCCCTGCTCTGGAGACAGTCCTGAAAGGGATGTGGTTGTAATAGACCACAGCCAGCAGAAGGCAGGCAGCACTCTGCAAAGGAGAGCCATTGGCACTGCTATGAGCAACCGAAGCCAGGAGCTTTCAGAGGGAGGCTGCTCACTGTCTTCAGGCACAACTCTTCAGACTGGGTGTGGCTTCCTCTGCTGTGCAGAGTTGTTGGCCAAGAAATAAGCCAGTGTTGGTGACTAACAACCAAACAGCTCTCAGGGCCCAAGTCTGATGGCATTTGTAGGACATGTACTATGGCTAGAAATTGTGTGAAGCCCCTTTGTGTGCCAGCTCTGCAACTGTTTTTCAGATCCCTCCTCCTGTCGGTCTGTCTGTAATGTGAGTTGATCATCTCAGCAAGCAGCACATCAGGATGTGGAGGTGAGACAGGCACGGAGGTTCCAGAGAAGGCCAAGTATGATGGTTCTGAGCATATTATTGTTATTGTTGTTATTATTATTACTATTTAGACAAGGTCTAGCGGATCATAGACTGACCTGGAGCTCATGAATGGCCTTGAATTTATGCAATTGAAGTGCTTTACCATCAAGATAGACCTCTGACCTCTAACTTTGGGATTACAGGTATGTACAACCATACCTGTTTTTGTTTCAGTGCTGGGGATTGAACCCAGGGCTTTGTGCTAGGCAAACACTCTACTTCCGTGCCTTTCTAAAGGAAGAAAGAAACCAGGAGAAAACAAACTGGCTTGGGAATTCACCCTGGCTTTGCAGACAGCTTCAGTGAAATGCTCTGCCCCTGCCAGGGGTTCATTGTATCATCTACTGCCTGGTGTGTCTGTCAAGGTGTCCTTCCTTCCTCTGCCCCAGTAGCTCTGGCCCTGTACTGGACTTTCTACAGGACACAGACAGCACAATGGGTACCAGAGGACATAGATGCTGGGGATGGGTAAAGAAGAGAAACTGGAGCATTTGAAAAGCCCTGACTGTTACTTTTAGTATTGACCATCATCCCTACCGGCGTATGAACTTGGTCTTGTCTCATCCGGCTCTGGGAAGAGTTCCATCTGGCATGTCATAGGACCACAGCCTGCCTCCTCTCTAGCCCCCTTGGAGTTCCTCCTAGCTGTGTGCTGACAGAATAATTCATTCTTCTCAGAGAATGGAAGACAGGGACAACAGTGGCAGAGACACCCATAGTACTGACGACAGCCAGGGAGAGTCTCTGATGATGGGTGTTGAAGAAACAGACAGAGATACTCAGAGATGTGTTCCAGGTCACCTGGCCAGGGGTGGCAGAGACAGGGATCCAGCTGGGTTAACAACTAGCCTTTGCAGATTGCTACCATGGGATGAGTAAGGTTTGAAGGGTTCTTACCAACTGGCTGAAAGGGGGTGATACCAGAAGTGAGAATAATGATTCCAAGAGGAGGGCCGTAGCCTGTTTGACCCCAACTATCTGAGAAACAAGGTGACAAAGAGCAGGAAGAGCCTGAAGGTACCCAGGGTGACGGGCGCCTCAGGAGGTCCTGGAGGCTAGAGTTCCCCTAGGCTTTCCTTGCCTTGCCCGAGGCATGACTCCTCTACTACAGGTGGCCCTGAAGCTTGCCAGCAAGGAGACTGCCACCGGGTGCAGTGATGGGTGCGTGACATGTGTTGCCCTTGCAGTGGACAGACCCGAGTACAGACTGGTATATTTGTTGGCTGTGTGCTCATCTTGCCCCAGCCCTAGTTGTGACCTCATCTATAGGGTGACATGGGCAGCAGTCGTGAATGAGATAATGTGACCAAAACCCAGCTAGACACATCAAGCTAGGTGCAAAATAGGCCTGTGGCCTGTATGTCCTGTCCCTCGTCTCCTCCTTTCCTTCTGGAACAAGGAAAGAGGAAGCAAAGACTCCTTGGAAATTAAAATTGGGCCCATTGTAGCCCTGGCAGCCACACAGGTCTCCAAGACAGAAAGACTTTTAGAGCAAAGAGATGTGGAGGGCAATAGCCCTTGTGTCCAGCATGGCAGGGCAGCTTCCAGACTGCAGTGCTAAGCAAGATAAAGAGTTTAGAACTAGCACTGAGGATTGGTGCATCCTGACTCCATTAAAGGTAGGCTTGGCACCAGCCAGAGGCCAGAGTGCTGGCTCTTGTTTAGGTCTGACCATGGTCCAGCAGCCGACATAGAGACAGGAAGAAAGCTATTCCTACCCCTTTTCACCCTTCTAGGGGTCAGTGGGGAACGAGGACCAGAAAAAGCAACTGGATCTGATGTCATTATACTCCTGCTTAGTTGGGTTCCTTCTCACCTGAGGGCCCCAGTGAGGGGTTCCCCTCTCTGCTGGCTGCCTCTACGCAGGTGCTACTGGACTTGGAGCAGAAGTTCAGCATGACTTTGGGGTGCCATTGGCCCCTCCCGTGTGGCAGTGGCCTTTTGATGTCAGCTTGGGTGACATCCAGCTATCTCGTCCACTGTTCCTCTTTGCCTGGTGGAAGCTGGGTAAACTTGGGAGAGAGCTATCTTCCAAGAAGAGAGGCTTTGGGAAGCCATCAAGCAACAGACAGAACAAACAGAAGACACCATCCATGCTCCAGCTATCTCAGCTCTTTGTTTGAGAACATAAATATATAGAGAAAAAAAAGTGAGCTCCTGATTCAAATCTGTAATCCTAGTACCCAGAAATCTGAGGCAGGGGGATCACCATGAGTACAGGCCAGCCTGAGCATCGCAGTGAGACTGGTTTTAAAATAAACAAGCAAATAAACAGTGAGAAAAAGCAGCAGCAGCAACAGCAAGGCGGTTCCTTTCCATCCTGTTCTGACCCATGTCAACCCTGTCCCCTCCCCCAGCAATAACTTTATGTAGGCAGTTTACATGGACCATGCCAGACTTTCCATGTGTATAACATACATGTGCACACACATGTATGAGGTCAAGATCTTTGTTCCTCCGTGATTTTTACACAAATGGCTGACCACATTGCTCTGCAGCTGTTTGTCTAGAACAGTCCAAGCTGCCCTTCCCCTGGGGGAAAGCATCCTTACTTGTTTTTCTAGCTTTCTGGATAATAGTCCGTGTGGGGATATAGCATGGACAGCTGGTTCAGTAGCTTCCCGTCCTCCTCAGCTCTCGCTCGGGAGCGTGAGCCAGCTTTTATAGTCAATGGCATGTCTGCCTAATTCTAGGGGCTACCACCCACTCTCAGAGTGTGTTAGCCCTGCGTGATGGACAATCGGGGTGTCTCCTATTGTTACCACACAGACAATCCCGCAGGGACCATGCTGTCCAGGCCTTTCTGCATGCCTGTGGATAGTTTTTTGGGCATTGTTTCCTCAGGTGAAACCAGTGGGTGGGCAGAAATGCATGTACACTCCTCTTAGTGGACAGGGTCCCAACGTGGGAGGGTGGCTTAGGGTTTCCTGTCTGCTCAGGCTCAGCTGAACTCGTCCCAGTAGCACACATCCCCCACGTGACTGCTGGCTGGGCTGCTGTTTCCAGGAAATCGATTGTAAAGACCGCTGAGTGTCACTGGCTCACTAACTGGAGGCCATCCAGGGAGTAGATTAAATTGTAGGAGAAAAATCTTATCCTGAGCTCAAGATAGCTGGTAATGGGAGTCCTGTGGTGACCTTCCTGGATAAGTTAAAAGAATACAGGCACTTTTAACTGTTCCCTTGTTCACCATCTCTAATCTACCTGGAAGAAGTGTAGTCCCTCTACCCGTGATGAAGCCCCTCTCATGAGCAGGCCTGGCTGCTAAGGTAAGGCCTGGTCTGGGGTCCAGACTGTTTTTATAGCCAGTCCTCTTCACCAAGTCCCAGATTAGTGGCTCCTCCTGGCTGGGCACTGTTTCCTACCCTACACAAACACAGGTGCCAGGGCTGACTCCTGCCTTTCCTGATATTCCAGAACAATCAGGTACTCAGCCTGCCTGCTCAGTCTAAGGACCAGAGAGCCCTTAGGCGGGGCCAGGTGAAGAAGGGTTTTGTTTTGTTTTGTTTTTTTTCTTCTGAGAAATGATAGGCTACATTGCAGAGGGGCCGCCTGTCTCTCCCTTTTTCCATAAGGGCCCAGCAGGGGAGAAGGGAAGAGGGGTAGAAGCAAGAAAGGAGAGAGAAAGGATGAAGCAGGAAATGAGCCGTTGGAGAGGAGAGGGATGTGGGTGGGGAGTGGCTGAGCCGTGGGCACGGCCTGATCGCATCCGCAGTGGTAACGCAACCCATCACCCTGAGTGCAAAGGCAGCCACATCCACGTGCTTCATCCTCTGCAAATTCCCTCATCGGATCTTTACCCTCACACCAGCATGATTAGTAGCTCTCATTAGTTTTACACATATAATACGAGGCTGGGTCATTTGTTCAGTTGTCCCAGCTGGTAGGTGACAAAAGCAGCCTGCTATCTGATCCCAGAGCCCCATCACTGGATGGAGCTGCTTCTTTTCTGCTGTGACCAGCCCTCAGCCAGTAGGATTTCCAGGTAAGCCTACATTAGCCTCTCAGTGTGGCTTTGACACACACACACACACACACATACACGAGATCTAGGGGAACTCAGGGGTTTGGTCTACTGGGATCCTGCATCTTTCTCTTAGAACAACTCTGTGCCTGGTACAAGAGTCCAGTGAATGAAGGCAGAGTAAACTCAGCTCTTCACACAATCTGATGTCTCTCCCAAACCCTGGTACAGGTGCTCAGGGAATCTCCACTGATGAGCAGAGACTCCTAGGGGTGAATTACTGTTTTTATTAAGACATGGCTTTTCCATGCTGGGGATGTAGCTTATCTAGTAGAGCGTTTGCCTAGTGTTCTTGAAAGCTCTGGGTTTGATCCTCAGCAGGTCATAAATGGGGCACAGTAACACACACTTGCAGTCTTAGCTTTAAGGAGGTGGAGGCAGGAAGGTCAAAGTTCAAGTTCATTATCAGCTACATGTGAGTTCACCACCAGCCTGAGCTACATGAGACCCTAGCCTTTAAAAACTATTTTAGTGCATTTTTATTTTTTTAATGCGTATGGCTGTTTTGCCCTTGTCTGCGCAATGCGTGCATGCCTAGTGCCCTTGGAGGTCTGAAGAAGGTGTAGCATCCCTTGGACATAGGGGTACACCAGCTGTCATGTGGGTCCTTAGCCAGTATCTGGGTGTGGCTGTTCACACCTTTAATCCTGGGCAGGTGGATCTCTGAGTTTGAGGCCAGCCTGGTCTATAGAGTGAGTTCCAGGACAACCAGGGCCACACAGAGAAACCCTGTCTCAACAAACAAACCTGACTCCCCTGAAGAGCCACAAGTCCTCCTAATGGCTGAGCCATCTCTCCAGCCCCCATAAGACCCCATTTCAGAAAGCAAAAACAAAACAAACAGCAATGAGCAGTGAGTGTTTGTGTGTTGACCTGATCTCCTGAGTTTAAGCAATCTTTTTCCCTGGTAGCTGTAACTACAAACGTAAGTTGCCATGTCTGGCTCATGGTGTGAATAATTAACTGTCAGACAAGAATACCGTGGTACCAATCATAGCAATAGATACAAAGATGCCCTATATCTTTTTGTGTTTGTTTTTTGTTTTTATTTTGTTTTGTTTTTGAGACAGGTTTCTCTATGTAACATAGCCCTGGCTATCCTGGACTTGCTTTGTAGACCAGGCTGGCGTCAAACTCACAGAGACCTGCCTGCCTCTGTCTCCTAGGCATGTGCCACCATGCCCAGTGGATGTTCTATATCTTATTCTAATAAAAATAAAGCAGGTTAGGGCTGGAGAGATGACTCAGATGGCTCAGTAGTTAGGAACACTTACTGCTCTTGCAAAGGCCCTGCGTTCAGTTCCTAGCACCTGCATGGAAGCTCTCAATCATTGGTAACTCCAGTTTTAGGGTATTGACACCCTCTTCTGGCTTCTGTGGGTATCAGGCCTACACCTACATGCAGGCAAAAGACTCCACAGATAAAAACTAGATACAGCAGGTCAGGGGCTGACTGGTCAGGTGACTCCAATGATCATGTGCTTGCTGCACAAACTTGAGCACCTATGTCATTCCTAGCACCCCCGGGAAAGGACCTGAGTGTCAGTTAACATTTGTAATTTCAGTGCTTGGACCTGGAGACGGGGATGGATCCCCTGGGCTTGCTGCCCAGCCTTCCTAATTTAATTGGTGAGCTCCAAGTCCCTCAGAGAGACCTTGGCTCAAAAAATATCAAGGTGGTTGGGGCGGTGGTGGCATACACCTTTAATTCCAGTGTTTTCAAGGCAGAGGGAGGCTGAGCTCTACGAGTTAGAGCCCAGCCTGGTCTACATAGGGAGTTCCTGAACAACCAAGGCTATACAGAGAAGCCCTGTCTAGAAAAACAAAAAACAGACAAACAAAAACAATAGTAACAAAAAATCAAGATGGATGACATTCCTGAAGATGATATCAGAAGTTTACCTCTGTCCACACCCTGCACTCAGAGGTGTAGATGGATTTATTTAGTGTCTGTATGTGGTGCTGGTATTGAACTCGGGGCCTTGCCCATGTTAAGCAAATACTCTACCACTGAGCTATACCCAGGCCCCCATCCTGTACCCAAACACACACACACACACATACACACATACACACACATATACACACATACACATACATATACACACACATACACATATACACACATACACACACATACACACACATACATATACACACACACATACACACAGAATAAACATACAAGGTTATAAAGCTGTATAACAGTAAGACACCATTTTATTAATGAAACAAAAAGATTCTCTTTGAGAACGGATATCTACCAAGGTGTTAACATGATTTTCATTGTTTTCCTCGGCTTATCTGTATTTCCTGTTTTTTTTCAATTAATATCAATTATTTGCATGATTTTAAAGAGCAATAAAAATAAATCAACTCCAGACTGTTTGTACTTTTTCCTTCGCTCATCCCCAACCCAACAGCTCTCAAAAAAATATGCATATATATATGTCAATCATTACAACACTCTCGAATATTCCCTTCCTCTCCCTCTGTCACTTTGACAACTGGGTTGAGGGGAGGGGCCCTACTATTCCCAGAAGCCCCCTGCTGACTAGTGGATGGAGAGAAGGCTGTGGCCTCCAGAGAGCACCTGAAGGCCTCCTTCCTTCCCTCCCCCACCTTCCCTCCATGTATACCTGGGTGGCCTTTCTAGTTATTATTTGTTTCTGCAGGTGATGCTGGCCTCAGACAGCATGGAGCTCTGACCCTCTCTGGTAGTCCCACTGGCGCCAACCTGGAACCCAGGGACACACGGCACGGTGTGGAACCCTTCTCCACTGCTGGAATGAAAACTGGCCTCATTGTGGTAAAATAAAGTGTGGCAGATTTGCAGTTGCAGGTGCTTTCTCCTCTGCTGTGCAAGCAAAAGCAATGTCTTAGGCCACAGCCATGCTGGTCCCTTTGGGGAGGCTTCAGGGAAGGGAAGGAAACCATGGAAACTGATTCTTCAGAGCATCCATTGAACATGTGGCTGGAGCCTGTCTTGGTCCACACTTCCCTCTTAGTATACCTTCCCAAGGTATATAGGAGCAACTCAGGCAGAGAAAGTGCATGTTTGAGGAGGTTGACTCTAGAGAATCTGACTGTGATCATCTTGAGAGAGAATCGAGTACTGGCTTCTTCTCCCTAAGTGTATACTGCCTGGGCACCCCAGAACACTGACTCCTCAGGATCAGATCAACCCTGGATCATTTTGGGGGAAGGAAAGATTTCCTGAAGTCTTGAAAGTTTAATGATTAGCCACTGAATTTTCATTCCCACCACCAATACAGAGCTGGTCAAAAGAGGCAGCTAGGATCTAAGAGACCTGCCTTGGCCTTGAAAGACTAGGGTTCAAGGAAAGGAACAGTGTACCCTTCAAGTCACTCAGACTCCACCTTTAAATCAAATCCCTGGAGGTGTTGGGCCTGGCCACCTGGAAAGAGCTCCTGTCTCCTAAGGCTTTTTACAAACAGGATGAATGGAGTTGGTACATGGTTTTCTTCTTATCTCTGTTCCCAGTTACCAGGTCACCTTGGCCAAGTGACTCCTCCCAACCCCCAGACCTTCTACCCACATAGTGTAGTGCAAAGACACATTTGAAAGAGCATGGCTGAAGATTGCCCAGCTGCCTGCCAACAACATTTCTGTTCTACATGGGAGTATGGTGGTGAAGTTCCATGACCCAGTATAACCTGGTGTGGCTGCAGGAATCAAAGTGTGATCAGTAGTGACACCATGTGGACATAGTGGGTAACTGCATCAGCTTTCACAGACCCTCAGGGTGACTTCCAGCTTTCTTCATTAAGGGGAGAGGAACTGATTGCAATTAATCACATTCATCATCTTACTCGGGGAGCTGTCTTGGAGCTGGCAAAGAAAATCCCAAATCAGAAGACAATCTTCCAGCCAGATCTCCCTGCTGTAAGCCTTCAGCTAGACACCTGTTTTGTTTAAATTTTCAAATACCGGCTTGATAGAAGAGTCTGGTGTAACGAAGGGAGAGTAATGGTAATCACAACGTTAATAAAAATTTAACAGGCTGTTTACTCTTGCCACGATTCTCACTGGCATCACCTCATTTTGAGTTCCCAACAGCCCTGGGTGGTACTTACTCATGTCCCCAATTTTCAGATGCAGAATGTTAGCTGTTTGGGAGGGGAAGCTAGATTTCAAACCTACGCAGTCTGACATCAGACTCCATTTTCTTCTTTGTTTTGTTCTGAGTCAGAGTCTTACCAGGCAACTCAGGCTAGCCTTGGACTCAAGATCTTCATGCCTCAGTCTCCTGTGTTCTAGGACAACAGGCTCTTGGGACAATGCCTAGATGGCCCTAGTTCCCTCCCTCTCTCCCTCCCTCCCTTGCTACCTCCCTTCTTCCCTCCCTCCCTCTCTCTCTCTTCTTCCCTTCCTTCCTTTCCCTCTCTCCATCCTTTTTTCTTTAAAATATGGCTTCCTTTATGTGTGTAGGTACTTTGTCTGTGTACCACATACCTGCTAGTGTCCACAGAGGCCAGAAGTAGCTGGATCCTTTGGGACTGGGGTTAGAAATGGTTGTGAGCTACTATATGGGCATTGGGAATTAAACCTGGGTCCTCTGGAAGAGCAGTCTGTGGTCATAAACATTGGCCTGTTCTAGCCCTCCCTTTTCTTCTTTCCTCCTCCTCTTACTCTTCCTCCTCCTCCTCCTGCCCCTCCTCCTCCTGCCCCTCTTCCTCCTCCTCCTCCTTTTTCTTCTTCCTCTTCTTCAGAAACAATAAGCATGATGGTACAGGCCTTTAATCCCAGCACTTGGGAGGCAGAGACAAGAAAATCTCTGAGTTCAAGGCCAGCCTGGTATATAGAACAAATTCAAGGACAGCCAGCACTACATAGAAAAACCCTGTCTCAAAAAACAAACAATGTCAGGAAGAAGGATTCACACGTCTCTCCATTGAGAGGATGATGTCCCTTATGGCAGTGAGTCATGTTGATAGGTGGCTTCCACGTGGTAGTACAGGCCAGTTTGTTCACATCTTGCAGCTATCAATAGGCAGAAAGACTGGGTCTTGGGGGACTAGAGACATGGTTCAGTGGTTAAGAGCACTGGCTGATCTTCCAGAGGACCCAGGTTCAATTCCTAGCATCTACAGCTTGCAACTGTTTATAACTCCATTCTAGGGGAACTGATACCCGCAGACATGTATATGTATATGTATATGTATATGTATATGTATATGTATATGTATATGTATATGTA